GGGTTTCACAACTTTTCAACCACACATTCCAAAAACTTTTATCCAAATCTACTAAAAATCTAATTTTAATCCCCAACAAAGAGGGGCTCAAGCTGTCTTCAACCACATAACAAAAGCATTTCAGTTCAATCTCACGATAGTAAGTAGCGAAATCAATAGCAAACTTGGCCATGGGGAAGTTTCTTGAAAATAACAGCATTTACTACATAAATTATTCAGCAGAGAAAGCTATTTAACATTTAATCAATGGAAGATATGAAGTATCCTCTAAAAGACTTAGTCTTTACTATCTACTGCATAATATAACTGGTGACTTCTGCAGAATTCACCCCACCCCACCCCCAAACAGCCAAATTAAAGAACATTCCCTATTATATGCTGTGATGCTAATCTCTGCACCCCCACAGTACAACTATTGGTCATTAGTTTTTGCATTTCAAATCTTAAGCATGGGCTACGCAAACCAAACCTGCTAAAATTATATAATTATTACATATATTATACAACGCGCTCCGACAGTAAGCATAATTTCCCAACAAGCTAAAATACTAGATTAAGCATAATTGTCCAACATAGTCACCAAAAAGAAATGTAATTTCCATTTCATTTAAATTTAACCATATGCGAATAGATATATAAAAAGATCTCACCCCTTGGATTCTCTTGCCAGTAACAGGGCACTTTGGGCCACTGGCCCTCTTCTTCGTGCTCTGGTACACAAGCTTCCCTCCTAATTTCACACACATAAACCACTCATTAAACACATAAAACCTACCAATATAACGACACACATCACATCACCCGCAAACAAATCATACCCATATTTACATTTTCAAATCCAACACATATACAAATGAATAAATACAATGACTTTTACCTGGCGTTTTGACAATCCGGTGTTGGTTTGATTTAGTGGCATAGCTATGCCGCTTCCTGTAAGTGAGGCGTTGCACCATTTTCCTCCTCGGGTTCAGGTGGCGACTCGGCGCTTTAGGGTTACTGAGGCAAAGGAGTAATCACTTCGGAGAGAGAACTATATATAGGTGGAGGGCGCCCTAGATCGTACGGTTCAGATATTCCACATTCCTAATATACGGCTGAGATTCGGTGATGGCTTTTATTCGTTGTGTTGACGAGGTAGTGGATCATTTTTGGTCCAGAGCCCAGTCCATTGTAAACTAATCTTGCCAGTTGAAATAGTAGTGGGCCTAAAACAGATTTGGCCCAATACTTAAGTTTACGGAGCCTCTTTATATCCTTTGGAAATGACAAACCAGGCCCAACCCAATTCTCTTGATTTTTATTCCTTAAATTTTTATATTTCAATTTTAGATATCTTCCCATATCTAATCTAACTTCTTTTAAAAAGGGGAATGAGGAGCCACTGTTCAAAGAACAGTAAAGTAATCACATTCTACTGTTGAAACTTTTTTTTCTTTCTTTTTCTTCTTTAGCTCACGTTGCTTTTTACCAGCTCCTTATTTTCGACGACCATACTCCTTATTTTCAAGTACAAAGTAAGGCAATAAGGGTACAACTTTATTTCTTTTTGTTTTCCTTC